GGAAGAAGAACAAGTGAAAGAGTATATGATAAAATGGGCTAAGAACTTTGGGAATAACATATTAATGGAACAGGGGGAAAATATGTGATTAAAAGGACTGAAATTTACATTATGTTATAACTTAAAAGAGCATTTTATAAGATGATGTACCGCTGGTATATGACTCCAGAAAAATTGTCTAGAACACATAAAGGTAGTTCAAATGTTGGAAATGTAGACAACACAAAGGGTCATTTTATTATGCCTGGTGGACTTGTAAAAAAGTCAGAAAAGTTTAGGTTCAAACACACACAATGATACAAAGAATTTTAAAAATTAATATTCAGCTGAAACTAGAACTGTTTTTGCTAGGATTAATGGACAGACAACTAGAACAAAGCCACAGAAGACTATTATATATGGTTACTGCTGCAAGATTATATGCACAAAAATGGAAAGACTTTGGGACTTCCAGTGAGTGCTATGGTGAGCTAGACCTCCTGCCAATGTGGGATGGCATTTACAATGGAGATCGCGGCTGGATGCTGGATCCAGACCAGTGAAGTCTCTCTGGAGAAAGGAGAGATCGTGAGACAATCCACATGTACTCCAGACAGCCACTCCTCTTGAGTAGACCACGTGGTTTGGCGGTTGCCTTAGGAGTAGAGTGGAGATGAATGGCTGGAGTTGAGTGGCTAGGAGTCAAGGGATACCATCTAAAGCTCACAGCCATAATGCAGCCTTTTAAGGACAAAAAGCTCGACTGAGCCTCATTTTTTAATCATTTTTTGGATTATCCTTTTATTGCTTTGGAAATATTAAGACCCTTCAGATCGGCAAGTTTCTACTGTATACACTGGGTGAGTCTCCTTCTTCTTAGCAGAAAGAAGTTTTAAATACAATTTTAAGGACTTGGAAAAATTATTTTTTGGAATACAGCAAAAGTGTGTTTAAAGTGTTGCTTTTGAAAAGTTAAAAACAGACTAAAGGTCCAGAGGGAATAAAAGTTTGAAATTAATTATAAAGTCCTTCCCATTGGAAACTGTGAAATGTTTACATTCTTTCGAAATTAATAATGTGATAATTTGGGTTTTTGAAGATTGGACACCAGAGGGCAACAGAAGCAAATAAAATAATGGATATGTGGAGAGATATGTGTGAAAAAATGATTCAGAAAATACTCTTAAAGATTTCTGCCATTATTGAAAGACTAGATGATGCTATGGAACAGACACAAGTTTCACTGGACAAGAGAGAAATTGACTTAAACATGCACTTAAAAATGACAGACTATAAGAAGGATATGGAACAAAGTAAACTGAACCTACAAATGAAGCCAGCTGATGTTTTAATAATTAAAAAGGACATGCGAATAACAGAACAGAAGAGTGGCTTGTACAACCTTTTTACACTGGATTTACAAAAGGGACTTGTTAATGTTGTTTGTGATTTTGTGAGACAAGACAAAAAGAAAAACAAAATGAAAAGAAACCATGTGCTGGCATATTATTGATGAGGGCTGAAGATCAAGATTTTTGGGAGTAAGGGGATGGAATATAGAGTGCATTTATTTAACCAAGGTTAAAATAGTTAGGTTGTTGTTATTTTTGGCAATCTGTAATGGATCTTTTCAGACTAGTACTGGAAGATGATGTTCTAAGATTTTGCTCTATAGATAAGAGTTCTATTTCTGGCAATTTTTAATTTTTTTTCTGATTAGGACTGGAAGATGATGTTTTAAGGTTTTGTTTTAATGATAAAGAGTTATATGGGAAAGAGGTTATTTGTTATATTTTAATTTCTTTAGTAAGTTTAAAATAGTTATGTTGTCATTTCTGGTAATCTTTCCTGGGTTTTTTATTGATTGTATTAGATTGATAAGGTTTGAAGGCTTTGTTTAAGAATAGGAGATATGAATGTAAAAGAAGGAAATTAAGTGGGTTTATTAGATTAAAAAGTTTATACTAGATATGTGGTTATTTCAGGTAACCCTTAATGGACTTTTGCTGATTAGTATGGATGATGAGGATTTCTAGATATGTTTATAGAGAATGAGATGAGATACAGGGTGAAGAGATCATTTGTTGTATTTTAAGAGATGGTGATAAGTTGTACATACTTGCTGGGAAGAAGTGGGAAGTTTTTTCTTTTTTTCTTTTCTTTTTTTTCTCACTTTTCACTTTTTATTTTCTATATTTTGTAGTTTGCTTTAGTTTTATCTGTATATTGTAATTTTTAATAAAAACATTAAAACAAGCAAACAAAACAAAAAAAGAGGAAAGACTTCGAAATACCCAAAATGGAGGAATGATTGGGGAAGATAATGGAACTAACAGAGATGGCAAAATTAACTTGTTTGCTTAGAGAAAGAACAACTACTACATTTATTAGTGACTGGAAATGCCTTATAGATTTTTGCTGAAAAAAGAAAAAAATAAACTTGTGATTTTTAGATTTGATGATTAGAAAGGGCAGATTATGGAAAGAAGGAAATTATGATGTCACCTTACAGAGAGAGGGAAAAATAAAAATGCATTTATAACTGCTGTTAAGAAGACTGGAAGCCACTTCTTTGTAACCTTTTCTTTTTTTCTTTTCTTTTTTTCCCTTTTTCTTTCTTTTCTATTTCTCTCTTCCTATTTCTTCTTCACTTATTACTTTTATTTTTCTTACTTTCAACTTAAAATTTGTACTGTTTTTATACTGTTGAAACTTCTTTAATAAAAAAAATTATACACACACACACACACAGTGTGTGTGTGTGTGTAAAAGAAATTATAGTCCGATTCTACAATATGTCACAAATTATAATTCTGAATATCCCACAGTTTTTGTCCCTCAAAACTTGCCTTCAGTAAGCCAAGTGCAGGGGAGAATTTAAGTAATTCCTCTATAACATCATTGTATCCTTTGGTTGCAGCTTTAAGTAAAGCAGTTGTGCCATCCTTCAACAGAAACAGAAAAAGTGGAAAGGAAGGAATTGGGGATTATAATTGTACATGAGTTCATTTACATTTTTCATTTTTTTACATGTCTGTCTTTAGAATTTATATAGAAAGATTCCTCCCATTCCTTAGGTCTGATTGAGATGTTACTTCCCTCAGAATTCATAAGAATTCTTAGTTTATATAAAAATCAGAGATAACTACCGTATTTTTCTGACTATAAGACGATACTTTTTTCTAAAATCCTTACGCTAAAAATTGA